GATGTATTTAAAGCGTAGATTCTTCTTAAACACTTAATCTTACTAAGTTTAGTTATTCAACTAAAAAATATATGCATCTGTTATTGTATGTAGTTGTTTTTCTAAATTTGTGATGTTGCCAAAATGAGAATTAGGGATTGAGAACAAACATAAATTTTGAGTATGACCCTAATGAGAATGACTAAATTTTTCAACAACACTTTACCGTTTTTAAATTTAAAATTTGTCTAGGGTTTGTAAAAAGGGAGTAGATCCTTGAATAAACGATCAAAAATAGCTTTAGCGGAACTCTAACATTAGGGAGGAACTGTATCCACAGGAGTTTTTATACGCAGATGTGTTCATACTGTTGTGTTCATGGATTTACTTTATGTTGATTTTGCTGGTTATATATTGGCGGTCGATCCACGTTATTGTAATACCTGGATAATTATCTAGGTAATACCGATTTGTCAACAAGTGAGGGTCAAATAATCCCAAATAATTTCTGAATTAACGGCGGGTAAACATACGTAAGTTCCATTAATGAAAAGATTCCATTATGACACTAAATCGCTGTTTGAGGGTAATAAATCAAAGAGCAAGCAGATACAAGGTTAGAATCTAGGTCAACTGATTAATTTTTTGAAGAGACTAAAAAAAATTAATATTCTTTTTTTTTCAAAATGTGTGCACTATTTCATATTAATCTGGACCAATAATTCTCAGGGTCATTACGACTCCGTTTCCCCCAGAATAAGCATTTTCATTATATTATTGATCCACTCGACCAAATGTAACTTCATTTTATCATACAGAGAACAAACACAATATTCGTTTTTTTATTAAACACATGTACTGTATTTATAACTTAAAGATGAAACAGTTTCAACTTTTTTAAATTTAAAAATCAATTTTGTATTTCACGTTTTTGGTTCGGTGCTTTCCCAATCCCCTGCTAGTGTGGCTGGGTTTTGTCATGGGCTGCGTTCTGTGGATGTTGCCTTCCTTGCCTTGTTGATCTTTATTCTCTTTAAGTTAGTCTTTCTTTGTGTATACCAAAATTTGAAAATTGACATAAATGATCGAGCCACGACGTCAGTCGTAACTGGCAGTACATACATAACCCCTGAAGTCTTCGAGCTGAAGATTCTTAATGTGAGACTAATGATGGATTGTCACATCAAACGTTTGAGATATTCACTTCAATATTGCAGCACCTACACAATTAGCACTGAGAATATTGTTGAATTGTAGATTTTGTCAAGACCTATCTATCTTCTGCATGGCCATGGCATCTATCTTCTGCATGGCCATGGTGCCTTTAATTATAATGGAGACTAATTACTTGGTTAGAGGAAATGAATTGCTTCTATTTTCCTGAAAACTCATTTGTGATCACTCATTATTTGTTTCATTATATTTACAAGAACGTGGTTACCAAATTTTCATTCAAAACACTGTTGTTTTTTTCAAAGAAAAGCCAAAATATATTTGTTGGGTTTTACGTAGCACCAACACAGTATAGGAACAGAACATACGTTTTATTTTAGACTTGTACATAGTATATCGCCATGCAAATAGATAAATAAAACAATTATCACGGCACGTGATCATGATAACACAAAATAAAAAATGTTACTTATCAGGTTATAGAAAATACATTGTTTACAAAAAGAATGTTAAGATATGCAATAAGTTAATATTTTCTCAAACATACGGTCATATGGCACACTTAAGTCATTCAATCAAGTATTCCGATGAGTAGGACAAAAAGTAATATGTAACAAACATTTTCATTATCATGTATATATTAAATCTAGTTATCCAATTATGAAGACATCGTTGAAACATTTATCAAGAAATATAAATGACGTATGGATAAAAACATAAATCATCAAAGACGCCGCAATTCAGTACTTAATCATCTTTTAGGCAGCTAGCTATTTGTAAACTGGTGGACACGTTATTCAAAATACAAATGTTTTTGCATAATAAAACATTGACAAAAGATAAAAACCTTACAATCGTATCGACTGACTAAAAGAAACAATATATTGTTTTTAACACATGTGGTATTACATATGCACTAAATTTTTTGGTCATGTCATAATGTTTTATAGCCCTGTTTACTGCCATATCATATGATCTGGGGAAGCTAGGTTTTGTCTGTTAAGATATATAAAAGTGTCCAGTGCTCGACTGTCATAGAAACAATACGGTATTTTGATGAGAAAAGTTAAACAATATAACAAGTCAACAAGTCAAATAGTTTATTGGCATAAACATTTTACACGTTCATCGCCAAGTTATATGAATGGCGGTTTATAATTTAACATAAAACATTGCATATACAAATACAAATTTTGTAATAAATACATGTACAAAACATACATAATATTTAAGTACAGAAAAGTATGGTGATGGATTTAACATAGCTATTTAATTACAGGCAAATAACAGTGAAACACAAAAAAACAACATTGATTTTCATATTAATATTGTTTGTAAATAAAGAAAAAAATATTAACAGACAACTAGACAGTATTTCTTTTTTCAAATGATAAGTGAATATATTTAGCTAATTTTATAATAATGTTTTTAGAAGAAGCAGTCATTATACTTTTAAATTTGTTTATATTTGGCCAAGTATAAAAGTATCTTGGTAAATAAAGTGCTCTTAAATCAGAATAATATGGACATATCAATAACAGATGATACTCATTTTCAACCACTTTCATATTACATTTCACACATAATCTATTGTTTCTATCTATATTTCTGAAGCGACCTTCCTCTATAGCTAATCTATGAGCCGAACATCTAAATCTTGAAAGGGATTTTCTATGTTTATCATTTGTTATAATACTAAGATATTTTTCATAACCAAAATCAGTTTTAATTTCGTTATTAACTTCTGATTTTCTAGATACACGCAGTTCAGCATACCAATTTTGCATATTTTGATCTTTAATACGTTGTATAATACTATCTAATTGAGAATTATTTAATACTATAAACAAACGATATTTAGTCAAGTGTCCATTGGGCTTGTCTCATTAAAAAAGTGAAGTTTGTAGATCTCAACTATAGGGAAAATATATTTTCTCCTCCGCTAATACAGGGTTCGTACAGTCTTAAAATTCTTTGTGTTCTTTTCTTCAAAAGTGGTTAAAAACTAGATTACTCTCTTGAAAAGTTCTTAAATTTTCGTAATCATTACCATTTAATATGTTGTAAGCTTGATTGCTAAGTATATGCATGTTTAATAAAGTATAGTATAATTGCATTAAAGAAATCAAGTATACGGCAGGTGATCAGGAAATTATTATAAACGGGACTATAACGTACTGCATACACAAGATCAAATTTTCTACAAAGTAAATGATACATTCACAGTTAAAAGATAATTTTGCCCCCGTTTAATAAGATTCAAATATAGTATTCAAATAATAGACAAAAGAGAGGAAAGTCAAACTAAAAGTGGTTATTAATTATATGATACCTCAATTATTCCTTTTCAAAACTTATAAAATGTTCCTAGCATTAAAAACAGATCGGCAATACTGCACACGAATGTTATTCACTATGTAAGAGTAAAGCAGATATCATCATCAGCAGCAACAAGAAAATCACCATTGTCAATATACTTTACTTTAGGTGCGTTGTTTTAATTAATTGTTTGGACTGCGATTTCCAACAGGAGGAGACTGGAAATATTTATTCGAGGCTAGCAAATCATTTAATGTAGGTCTGAATGATAAACTTATGTGCACAATTTCAGATCATTCTCTCGCTCCGTTTTCCAAGAATAATTATTTTAATAGTACTAGTATAAGGTGACCACGAATGAAAAGCGTTGGGGAAATTTTTCTCTCTGAACATATTTCCTTATTATCTTTTGCAGATTTTTTATATTTATAAGTGCATCCTTCGATCTATGAAAGAATTTTCCAGTAACTGAGTCAAAAGGTCTGAAAGTATTTTAACTCTATAATATTTATCAAAAATCTGGCAAGATCATGGCATTAAAGGCCCATTTTGCCTCAGAATGTTTTTTATTTTCATTTCTTTTTTTATCAGGTAACAAAAATGTTCTAAAACGATTATCTTAACATTATAAAAAATTATCTTACTTTGTTCATTCAAAAGAAATAAAAAAGCATTTCTGAAGCATACCGTGTCTTTAAAGGGGGTAATATTTATTAGAAGCTATTAATTAATATTTCAGATTTGAAAAGTTCATGAAGAATAACTCTTTTCTAGACATTGAGATACAGTTTTTTATCTGATGGTTTTATGTATTAGTATAATATTGTCTAACAGAAATTAGAAACAGAAGATACAAATGAATGGAAATAAGTTGGGGATAAATTGTCCTCTTATCACTGCTCTGGATAATTGAATAGTGAAGATTAAATCAAACAATAAAATAACTACACCTTTGTGTTTTAAAGCAAGCATACATTTACAATGCAAATGGCAAATCACTTTAGTTTTGTAAAAACGGTTTGACAAGCACAGAAATACTATAATATCACATGTGTGATATTTATGTCCCGAAATGATTGTAAATTCCGGAGAAAATCTTATTTCAAATGTCATTTCCATTGCATCATTTTCATGATCTTGATTACAAAGAAACTAAGAGATTTAACTGCTTTTATTGTTTGTTTGAAATGTCAACAAACGAGGAAATTTGTGAAATAACCAATCAATGATTTAACAGAAACATAAAAGATAGCAATATATAATTTGTGTCATATATACAGCTAACATAATCTCTGTAGAAACAGTCTCTTGTTTAGGCATGTTTTATTTTATAAAGTGCCACGTTGATGAATTGTTATCAAGTTTGCCTGATTTTGTATAATAACAGAATGAAGTCGACCGTAGACACATTTTCAAACCAGGACAACTTGGTGATGCAATCGGGAGGATTCGCTCATCTGCTTGTTTAAGAGTGGTCAACTTCACAGAGAGAACCTGTAGAAAACAGCCAGATAAAATTATGAGATTTAATGAAGAATGTGACAACATGTCTACAGAAAAGACAGATTATGTTGTGTTGGCTTAAAAAGGTAATTGTGTAATAAATAAAGTACACATTTGAAACCATCATGTTAAATTAGAATGTACTGTTATATATTTCACATTATAACATTGTATGAAAGGTTGGAAAATAATAGTTAACATGATAATGAAAATAATAAGGGATCACCTGAAAGCTTCTGTAGTTTGGTTGGATATTTTTTAAGTAAAAGGGCATCCCTAACTTTTTCTTGTTATGTGTATAGGCTTTATTCTAAATGTGTTAAGTATCTGTTTCCTGAATGGCTCAGTAGGTAGAGCGCAGGGCTGATAATCGCGATGTCGTAGGTTCGATACCTACTCATGCCCTATCATTTTTAATAATTTTATTTATTTGATGTTTACATAATTGTCCATGTTCATTCATCTTCTTTCAAGAAAGTTCTGTACATGCTCCTTCTGGAATATTCTTTCTCTTAGTAGTTTAGTATTCTATATTGTTCTTTGATAGTATATATACTATTATAAATGTTTGTACTTCAGGGTGTGTGCTAATTTGTGATATTGTGAGATATTGTTATACTGATTGTGTGCTATTGTACTGCTAACATAGAAATATATAAGTTTGGATTCTGTAATTCTGTGTGGGACATATTGACATTTTGGACATACTGTATTTATTCTGCTGTGGACATTGGACATGTTGTGGACAAATGAATTTCGAACTGTGAGTTAAACTTGAGGACATTTGTTAAATTTGTATTGTGGGTAATGGTGAGTTAAACTTTACTTTCATAGTTTTTGTTTTATTGTAAATTATTGTTTTTCTTTAATTAAAAATTGTAAAATTTGTTGCTGCGTTATCTTCTCTGTTTAGCTCGTAACATTCTGCATTAGCTTTGGTGGACCAATAATGCTGTTCAGTGCCTGTTGATAATGTAGGGCACTTGGATTTGAAATAGCACCATGGCATGGTATGCGGATCATTGCTGGTTGAAGAAAGTTTCAACGACAGAAGAATTCACTATTTCAGGTGTAACAAAAACGTGCTTGCTCCTACTTAGTACCATCTGCCAAAATTCTATAAATCTCAATATGCATGACTGAATGTCCTTATAGAACTGATAAAACATACAAGCTTTTGTTTGTTGTTGCTGTTGTTTGTCAATTAATCAAACCATGAATTAATGTCCCTAAACTAAAATAAGCTCTTATCATCAACATGCATTATTGGTCTCATGTCTGAAAATGTCATAAAGTTTTGTTTTTTTCTGCAGTAGGTCAATACTGCAAGTCTCCTTTTGAACCAAGAGTTTTGAACTTCCTCAGCTAAATGATTTCTCATTTTTAAACGGTTCGTAAGGTTCACTTGTTTGTCAGTTAACTTGCAATTGATGCAATGGAATATGTTTCTCTTTTCCCATTTAATGCAATCGCAAAACATATGCCACTGAATCCTTTCACTTCGTGGTAAAGTAAGAAGTTTTGCTTCCCCACTACTTAAAATGTTATTTCTAATATTATAAATTACATGCAATGCATTCATAATAAATGCTATTTCACCAAAGGCATATGGATTTTCTGTTTTAAAAGACATTTTATTATCGCTATAAAGGTTATAGTTCTATTATTTTGATAGCTTAGTGTCCCATCAAGACTGACAATGTGTTTGAAATCCAAACATCCAAAGTCCATCTACGGCAGCCAAAACAATGAATATAATTCAGTTCTTTGTACCACTCTAGTAATATAAAATGTGCAAAAGGGAATTTGAAACATGTCAATTCTAAAACTATGAATAGAGAAGCATATGTTTCTAAAGATTTTTCACTTTTTCTTGTTCTTAAAATGGTACAGTTTGTTTAGGTTTTACGTCACACGGACACACTATAGGTCATATGGCGAAGTTCCAGCTGCACTGGTGGAGGAAGACTTCAGGTGCCTTTCCGTGCATTAATGCTTTTTTCAGGCACGAACGTGTACCTGAGTAGAACCACCAACGTTTCGTTAGCCAGCTGGATAGCTTCATCACATGAAAATATCCAAAGTCCCTGCAGGGATTTGAACCCACAGCGATGAGAGGCAAGTGGTTTGAAGTCAACTTGATCCTGTCGGCCACGGACGCCACCAAAATGGTATGTTCAGTCCTTGCTTTCTTAACAAACATCAGTAAATCCACACCGTACAAGTCTATTGCATCATCATTTCTTGCAATATATAGGTCCGACTGAATAGACAATTCATCTATGACGATCTTCCCCATCCAACCATCTTCATTCCGTTTTTTTCAGTTTTATTAGTTATTACTGCTTTTGTCACTGTTATACCAGCACATATTCTTAATATTCTTACAATTTAAAAAAAAACAATGTGTTGAAATCAAATTTATTTAATACATTAACATTAACATCCTACAAGATGATTTATTTTGCCACTTATTTTTAATTTCCATGTATGATCGTTAAAGAAATGAGCTTCTTTGTTGATTGGATTGTTACCAGTTGTCGAAATATTTGCAAATTATACTGCTTTCTTGTTTGTTTTGCAGTACAAAATCACCAAATGAGCCTGAGAAATTTGAAAAAAACTGTATATTGATCTTTATTCCTTTATAAATGTTTTAGAATTGTGTGGATTAATCTTACACTCTTTAGTTACATTTTGAAATATCTTAAATAGATGTGAACAAAATAGTTTACTTTTAGAATGATTAGTTACATTTGGAAATATCTTTAATAGATGTGAAAAAATAGTTTACTTTTAGAATGATGTGGATTTGTCTCACCCTCTTTAGTTACATTTGGAAATAACTTTAATAGATGTGAAAAAATAGTTTACTTGATGTTGATTTGTCTTACCCTCTTTAGTTACATTTGGAAATAACTAATAGATGTGAAAAAATAGTTTACTTTAACCCCACTGTTTTAGTTTGAAAATAAAAACAAATCAAATTTTTCGGGAGAGTAATGCCTTCTTTTTGTGATTCTGCATCAATTTGCAGTCTTTTCAACAGATTGTTATTAAACCCTTGGGTCAAAATATGCCTTGCCCAAGGGGACAGTGACCTACATTCTTGTCCTTTGATGTACAGCAACGACATTTTGACCATGTGCACAGTTTTAGTTGTAAAATTGAACTTTGACCTAGATTTTGATGATGTGACCTACTTTCGTGTCCTTTGATGTACAGCTATGAAATTTGAACCATGCGGTGGCATAGCATTTTTCTCAAATGCAATCTTGTTTAAGTTTAAATTTACTGATATTGAAGGCAAAATATACCTCAGTAATGAATAAAAATAGTCAGCTAGATGATGATCCAGTTTTGACTTCTATATGTAGATGTATTCTTATCTAGTGAGATAGGACTTTGAGGGTAAATTTTTTGGTAAATCAGGGTCAGTGTGAACTGAAATTTAAATTAAATCTTAAATTTTATTGAAGATTTATAATATTTTTTTTGTGCGCACTCAGCAGTAAATTATCATGATATATTGATGATATAAGGTAAATTAAAATTGATAAATTATCGTTTTTAGCTTGACATTTTTACCTAAAAAAAAAGGTATTGTTCCAGATTTGTTTAAATGAAAGTAAATTTTAATATTTATTTAATCTAATTGTTTAAGTTCAAAGACAGTGGATGATCTCATCGAGATAGATATAGTGGCCAATGATGCCTATCCACATATTGGCACTATGGACATTTCTTTACACGGTTAAACGCCACGCAGAGTTGTCGAATATTTTCCTGAACGGGAATGGATTTTAATAAATCAATGACTTTCCTTCGAAAGCCTCAGGAAATAGTGTTTTTTTTTTCATATTAATATAACCTGTGGCCTTCCCTCGCATTACCACAACAGTTGGAGCTACTTTATACATGTGTCTATGTAATAGATATACCATTGCTGCGTTGACGATTTCTGGGTTTGCGTAAATTATACCATAATCACGTGACCTTTCTTATGCCTTGACCTCACGAGACGAAGTCTGAAAGTTTGTTTTGATGATTTCTAAGTCAAGTTCGAACATGGGTCATCTTGGATGAAAAACTAGGTCACACCGCCCAAATATTGAAAAACCTTGTTAACATTCTAGTGGTCACATTTTCGACTCAATTATCATCAAACTTGGTCAGGATGCTTGTCTAGGTAATTGCTCGGATAAGTTTGAAATCGCATGTGAAACTAGGTCACCGGAGCTAAAAATAGAAAAATCTTGTTAACACCCTGGTTGCTACTGTTTTGATCCAAGTATCCTGGAAATTGGTCTGAAAGTTTGTTTTGATGATTTCAAGGTCAAGTTTGAATATGGGTCACCTGGGTAAAAACTAGGTCACACTGCTCAAATATGGATAATCCTTGTTAACACTGTAGTGGTCACATTTTTGACTCACCTGTCATGAGACTTGGTCAGAATGCTTGTCTAGGTAATTGTTTGGATAAGAGTTTGATAAGTCAGGTGAGCGATCTAGGGCCATCATGGCCCTCTTGTTTTCAATATGTTACTACGTCTGTATATCTATATGACTGTTGACAAGTTTTACTTATCTAAAATCAAATAGCTTAGATTATTTTTGATACATTTTGAAAAATATTCAACGTAAATAAAGATTTATACATGTTAGGATTTCCAAATTGCTTAAAATATAGTGGTCATTTTCAGTTTGTGAGGCTATTTGATAAATTTTGAATTGTTCGTGTAGTATTTGCTTGAAAAAAAAACAAACAACAAAATGTTAAAGTTTAAATTGCTGAAAGAAAAGTGGTTACTTTTAGGTTGCAAGGGTGAATGGGCTATTACAAAATAAAGAGCAGGGTCTAGGATCAGCCACTGGTATGATAAACAGTTTACGTGATGCAAACACTCAACTACAACAACAACTAGAGAAATCTAGACTGGAACATAAAGCTGAGAAAAATAGAGCATCTGCACTACAGGTAATTGTCGTATAATATATGTCTATACATGTATATCAATGTTCTGTATGGTGCTGAAAACATACTCTGCTAGGGAATCCATTTTGAAGGGGCGCGTAGGTGAGTCAAATATAGTTTTTCTGCTGGGTTGGTCCAAATATGTCATTGTGCATAACACAGTTTAATTATCATTTTAATTTTGTACATAGCTATATCGTTATAGAAAATATTGGAAATCTTAAATGCTGACCTTTGCTGTGTGGTATTTTAGAAACCATTTCTCAAATTTTATTTCAGGAAGCAGTTGTATGTTATAGGTATACATTACTTAAATAGGTATACTGTATAAAATACTCTAAGGAGAAGTAAAATCCAGTGCCAATTTTTTGTGAATATACAAAACTTTGTGTAACAGTTCACATTTTGTAGACATTTTATTTGATGAGCATTATTTTTTCTTCCCTAGAACCATAACTGTGACCTTTTAATGTTAAATTTATTATTAAATGTAGTGATTATTTGAGGATATCTCATCGTTTTGAGTGAATATATAATTTATGTCATGACAAAAGTGAGCACTGATTCAAGTTACCGTACGATCATTGCAGTTTATATTCACGTTATTTTTAGATAAATTTGCCTTCACTCAAAACTTACCAGTTTTCTATTCTTTATTTATGAGTATGAGAATACATTTATATGAGGAGAAATGAAAATAAATGATATACAGTGAATGATAAAGCTTATATCTCATTGATTATATCATCACCTTAGTGCAATAACAGGTTAAGTCCTTCTAAATTTAATAGAAATTAATCATTTATTGCACTAAAGTGATGATATGTTGTATTTTATAAGCATGAAATAAATGTTATTTAATTCAGACTGAGCTTGACAAGTTGAGACTACAGTATGGAGCTGACATGAAGAAAGCCAAGGTAGAATTCCAGGAGAAAATAGAGCAGACAAAATCTGAACTTGACATTAAATGGCAGGACTATCTCAGGTATTTTATCATAACATTTCACAACCTAGGTTTTATAGTGGATGATAACAACTTTTTGCACACATTTTTAAGATGAATATGTTTCTTTCACTTAATTTATTAAGTGATATTTCAAGATATATAATTTAGTTTTAATCGTAACCATTTTTGTAATGTCGTGATGCCTAAATACATCAAAAGCATTGCTGACACAAACAGAATCATGAAAAACAGCAGAATTAGATCAAACAAATCCTGAAAGGGGGCGCTTAACCTGGAAAAAAACAAAAAAAAAACAATGAACATTTCTCTACATGTATGTCTCTTGAATAGAAAATGGTTTTAACGTAACATGTAGACATCTCTGTGGTTATGATGAGAGGCTTCCAGTCAGTCACTTGTTTCTGACCCCTAAATGACCTCTAAATTTTGCCAGAAACATAGCCTTTATCGTGTTAGGAAGCTAGCCAGTTAGTTACCTTAATATCAGTATTTTTACTCAGGTGCCAAGTGGTGTGTAATAATAATAAATGGAGGAGCTTCCCCGATCAATAAATATGGGAGTTGTTACTTGCCCTTATCCATGTTAATAAGATATAATCCTCCTACCACCACAAAATTTGAGGTTAAAATTGATTGTTAAATGTATATGCTTTGCATTGGAAAGCGAAGTTAAATTTTGTTATTTTCATAGTGAAATTATATTTGATAATCTTCACTGCAGCCAGGCTAGATTTGAATGCGGATGAAAATAATATTTCATAACTAAATGGAATTATCAACAGAAATAAGTTCCGTCGTATGTAAATTTTGCTATGCCACTCGTAAAAATATTGCATCTGGTGTCCACTCAGTGTAATATATTTTGATCAAACAAATATCCTCTATATTCTACAGACGAGAATGCGGTAAACTACGTGAAGAGATTACAGAACAAAAAGACAGCGACATGAGAGCAGCTTTAGAACAGTTATCAAAGATGAAAGATGAAGAAATAATGGTCACTCGATCAGGCTGGGAAAATAAAGTTGCTGATCTTACCAAGCAGGTAATAATGATTATTTTATTGTTAATATCTTACCATGTTTATTGTGACAGCTATGTCAGTATTGAATAATCCTTCGAAGAAAGGATTTTAACATGAAGTTGGTGGATCAAATCAGATGCTTTTTTTGTGCTGGAAACACCATATGTTAAGAAATTATTATTATAACGGTAATTATGTGGGTCTTAAATTTCTGCGTGCTTTATGTCTGTGGTGAACATCAACCTCACATTGATGTGTTTTATATCTGGGGAAAATCCAACTTGTAATATTGAATTCCTTTTGGAATTTGTGACCAGCTTGCTTACAAAAGGGTGGTGGTTCTGTCCAAATACTTCTTTGTGTTAGATACTTTGTTCAGAGAGATGTTTGGGACTTGCCTCTTCCTTCATAGCTAAATGTTGGCATAATTGGTTCAACTTCAATATATTGTCTAGGTGGTTTAACTTGAACCCTCATAAGAGATCCTTCTTTGTCTGTAGATTGCATCTTTGAAAGAAAGTATGGCCACAAACAACTCCAAGTTGTTAGAAGAGCAGGAGAAGATGAGGTTAGAAGCTGAGGAAGAGCGGCGGCGCCTGGAACAGGATCTGCTGAAGGCTACTGATGAGTACATGGTCAAGATACAGGCTCTAGAAGCTATACATGAAGAAAACATCAGTAAATTAAAGGAAGAAAACCAAAAAGACCTAGAGGTGTGTGTCTTTTCTTCTTACATAAAATAGATTTATTAATTTGAGGATATTAAGTTTTGTTTAAAATTTTATGGAAACTTTTATGTTTTCTCTACAAGAAATAGTTTTAACTAGAAGAAAGCTTTATTTATTCACTTATTTTTTAAGAGTTAAAGAAAGGCCAGATGATATGGTAAATAGCTTCTGTTGTTGTTTTTTACCTTGTTTATTTAGAAATGCATTTTGCGCATTTTTTATCCATTTCTTTAAAGTACTTGAAATTTACAGTGAAATTTAGCTTTTTAGTCAGAATGATATAACATTTTTCCAATTAATACAGGAATTAAAGAGACATTTATCAGAGAAACATATAGAAGACATGCAAGCACAAATGTCTGCACATAAAATAACTAAAGACAGCCTCAAAGATCAAGCTGACCGCGAGAGACAGGCAAAACTTGATGCTCTCAGGGCTAAATTGGAGAAAGAAAAAGGTTTGCAAGAAATTTATAAATATAAATTATAAGGTTTATGTTTCTATGCTTTAAGAGAAGAAAGTCTAGAGGTATATTTCTGAAAACTGAAAAATTTTCCAGGGTAGTGCTTGAAATATTAAAGAATTTTCACTGTGACATTAGATATTTTCAGAAGAAAATAATAGATGATTTTTTTCACTTCATATTTTTGTATTCAATGATGAACAGCATAATTATGTTATATATAACACTGTTTTTTTGAATATAACATTTGATGCTATTATAAAATAAACACCAGCATTAGATCACGACCCTTATCATCATTTTACTTTACCTATGATGTCCAAAGATGTTAACATTGTCAATGACCTAAAAAAATAGTGAATTTTCATTGATATGTTAAAGATAAATAATTATATGAATACTGGTAGGTAACAGTTAGCAAATGTCTAAATGTGTCTTTTATTATTTCAAGAGTTATAAAATTGAATTTCTTAAAGAATTCAGTATGTCAAAAAAATGGCATTAAGGTTTTTTTTCTCATGCAGGCTGTCATTATTTTGACTATTTCAGTGCATTTACGAGAACTATTATAATATAACAATTTATTAAGAAACACACTTGCTCATACATAACATGACATAAACATTAAAGGGTTTATAAATATACCTACAGCTATATCATATTTATATTACAGACAGTCTACGTGATGATATGTATCAACGTCATATGCAGGAACTGGAGAGAAAATCCAAAGAGCATGAGGCACACATGCAGGCAGCAAGGATAAAACTTGAAAGGGCAGTTGAAATCTCTAAACAGAAGGTAAAATTTTATAAACTCATTTTATATACTGAAATTTTTTCATAAGAAAATCGAAGAAAATTTTAGGTTATTGTTATTAATTGATTACTTTGACTGGTTTCCTTTTCTTACTACATAAAAATGGTAGTATTGATACAGAATCAAAGAACCCTAATGTTCTATTTGGTGTACATGGTGCATAACTGGTGGTAAATGCAAATTTATAACAAACATGTTAACTTGGATTCAAATAGCTAAGATGAATCTGTTATTTCCTTGTTTATCTGTATAGGAGGTTAAACATGATTCAGTTGTTTAAAGAGAGCTCACCTCTTGTAACACTCTTTTATGGTTTTAATTCCTGTTACGGATCTTAAATGATGTGATTTAACTTTTCATGTAGCTGGTGGAAGTTCAAGTAGTAAAAGAGATCCTGACAGACCTTTTCCACATTATTTGTGAGTCTATTTAGTATCCTACCCTGACACTGAGACAATGCAAAATGAAGCATGCAAAACATTTTACTTCTATTTAAAGGTGTAACTTCATATCTATTCCACATTCTAAAGATAATAATAGTGAGTGTTTTGTCTTTGTTGTATTGGCAGTATTGTGTTTGATCTTCCATTAAATTATTTCTAAATTATACACTATTATAAGAACAAAGTACAACATTTTGTTTATAACAGGTTAAAATCATAATGTGACGTCTATGGGGTAGGCAGCCTGTCTAGTCTATATTCTTTGTGTTGCAGCTAATAATAAACATAAATTAGAACAATATTTCATATGTTTGTCTGTAGCATTCTTGGGTAGAGTTTAATCAAGTTTGCTCATATTAATTTGATTGGCCCCTTTTAGGGGCCGTGATGGATGATCACCAAACTTTGTCTGTAGCATTCTTGGGTAGTCTTTTATCATGTTTGCTCATATTAATTTGATTAGCCCCCTTTAGGGGTTTCTGTACTTAAACAAAGAAAAACCTTTAAATATCTTCTTTTACAGAACTAATTGATGGATGATCACCAAACTTTGTCTGTAGCATTCTTGGGTAGTCTTTCATCAAGTTTGCTCATATGAATATGTTGGCCCCTTTTAGGGGCCCCTTAAGCTAAAAAATAGAAATACCTTTTAATGTCTATTTCCACAGAACTAATGGATGGATGACCACCAAACTTTGTCTGTAGCATTGTTGGGTAGTCTTTCATCAAGTTTGCTCATATTATTTTGATTGGCCCCTTTCAGGGGCCGCTAAAATTAAAAATAGATAAACGTTTAAACGTCTATTGCTATAGATCTAATTGGCATTTCTTCAAATTATAGTTTGATAATGAAAGGAAAATAACTCATGTTGGAATGTTTCTATATATGTGTACATGCATACATGTGAACTCTCCCAATTTGAGCGGGGGACAATCTCTTTCTCCTGTCAAATTTTTAACTATTTTTTTTTAGAATAAGGGGTGTTTTAAAAAAATAAAGAAATCTCCCTCTTTTTCATTTCAAAATTTCCTACTATGTCTATTGTCAGTTAAAAAATCTCCCTCTTTTTGAAGTAAATTCTCCCTCTTGAATTGACATGTATGTACATGTTATGCATAAAAAAAGATTGAATGTCTTAATGTCATGACCTGTTTGCTTTTCAGAGATCTTGAGGTTATTCACCTGCTTTGTATCTTTCTGTTTGTGGGCATTGCATCATTGCAGGTTCATTTGTAGGTCTCTCTAGAGAATGTTCATTTGTACATTTCATTCTGGTACCTTACTAACTTGGCGAAAGCACATTTCAATAAATATTTTGACACACTGTTGAACCTGATGTTTCATGTGCATGGGATATTGTCACTGTGTAACAGATAGGTGATTGTTTTTCACTGAGACTCATTTTTCAGTATCTGTTGTATTATATGAGAAATTGAATATAATAATAATGTAAGTTTTTCACTGAGACTCATTTACAGTATCTGTTGTATTATATGAGAATATAATAATAATGTATAGAATAGCCTGATCAATAGATATTAGCCTGAACTGGTCTTCTCCAGCTGCATAACCACTTTCCCTGATTCTTCTTTTTTTTAATAAGGTAATATTCAAATAATTTTTCAATAGAAAAACCCTCAAACTAAAAAGTTAAATGTTAATAAATTTGAATTTATTCATAAATGTAGATATGGCTTAAATTATTTTTCATCTGATTTAACTTATACTATTTTGCAACTTGCATTTTACATTAAGGAACAAAACTAAAGTTTAAGTGAACTCATGGCAACTTTAGAAGTATTTCTTGCTTGTCTTTATGTAATTTGTCATAGTTTATTTTTTGTGCTATTTTAATATCAGTTTCAATTATTTCTATTCAGAATCACATTTTGCAAACTTGGTTATCACTTGTTGAAAGTAATTTTGCACTGTTTCATACAATGTGTGTAAAGTTGTTTTCATGACTGAATACATTTCATCAAAACAACCTTTTGCCTTTTTCCTCTATGTAGTTAAAGTTACAATTTATCCATTTCTATTAGAGAGTAAGATAATTAACCTGAAATGTTAACTTTCTGGTTGAGTTGACTAGTATACCTATGTTATCTTAAATAAATATTGACCCAAACTTGGTTCCTATCATTTTTACTATGAAAAAAAAAAACACAAAAAAACAAACAATCAGTGTCGGGAAACCTTACAACTAGAAAGCAAGTTGAAGTTGACCTGGACTTTTTGAAAAATCTCTGAAAAACAGTTGTTTCTGGTGAGCGACTCAGGGCCATCATGGCCCTCTTGTTAACATAATTATGCCCCTTTTTCGACTTAGAAATTCTTGGTTAAGTTTTTGCGTGTATGATGGTATCTCCATAACTACTGAAGGGAATGGATTGAAACTTCACACACATGTTTTCTGTGATTATCTAAGATGATTGGCACAAGTCCCATAACTCTGATTTGCTTGTTTACTTAATTATACCACTTTTTCAACTTAGATATTCTTGGTTAAGTTTTTGCGTGTAAGCTGGTATCTCCATAACTACTAAGGGAATGGATTGAAACTTCACACTCTCGTTGTCTGTGATTATCTAGATGATTGGCACAAGTCCCATAACTCTGATTTGCTTTTTTAGCTCACTAGAGCCGAAGGCTCAGGGTGAGCTATTAGTATCAAAGGTGGATGCTCCGGCGTCCGTCATCCGTTGTCATGCGTCAACAATCGTCTTCTTCTCTGAAACTACTGGGCAGATTTACTTCAAATTTGGTCTGTAGCATTCTTGTGACAGTCACACTTGAATTTGCTGATGTCATTTCAATTGGCCCCTTTTATGGGTCAGCAGAGCTAAAAATAGAAAAACCTTAAAAAATCTCCTTCTACAGAACTAATGGATGGATGATCGCCAAACTTTGTCTGTAGCATTCTTGGGAAGTCTTCAATCAAGTTTGCTAATATTATTTTGATTGGCCCCTTTTAGGGGTATTTATGGCTAAAAATAGAAAAACCTTTAAACATCTTCTTCTACAGAACTATTGGATGGATGATCACCAAACTTTGTCTGTAGCATTCTTGGGTAGTGTTTTATCAAGTTTGCTCATATTAATTTGATTGGCCCCTTCAAGGGGCCCCAAAAGCTAAAAATAGAAATACCTTTAAACATCTTCTTCTACAGAACTAATGGATTGATGATCACCAAATTTTGTCTGTAGCATTCTTGGGTAGTCTTTTATTAAGTTTGCTCATATTATTTTGTTTGGCCCCTTTTAGGGGTTTCTAGGGCTAAAAATAGAAAAAAACTTAGTCGGTACTATGCTCGGGTAGTGTTTTATCAAGTTTGCTCACATTATTTTTGATTGGCCCCTTTTAGGCAAAAGCTAAAAATAGAAATACCTTTAAATGTTAATTTCTAAAGAACTAATTGATGGAAGATCACCAAACTTTGTCTGAAGCATTCTTGGGTAATCTTTTATCAATTTTGCTCATATTAATTTGATTGGCCCCTTAAAGGGGGCCGCTTAAGCTAAAAAAAGAAATATTGTTAAATTTCTATTTCTACAGAACTAATTGATGGATGATCACAAAATTTTGTCTGTAGCATTCTTGGGTAGTCTTTTATTAAGTTTGCTCATTTTATTTTGATTGGCCCCTTTAAGGGGTCTCTAGAGCTAAAAATAGAAAAAACCTTTAAACATTTTCTACTTGAGAACCAATTGATGGATGATCACCAAACTTTGTCTGTAGCATTTCTTGGGTTCTCTTTCATCAAGTTTGCTTATATTTATTTGATTAGACCCTTTGACGGGGCAACTGAAGCTAAAAATCGAAAAAACCTTCGAACTTCATTTCCTACTGAAATAATTGAAAGATGATCACCAAACTTTGTGGGCGGCGTCCTGTGAACGTTGCCTTTGCCTTGTTGATTTTTATTCTTGTTATTTTGTAGCATTCTTAGGTAGTCTTTTATTAAGTTTGCTCATATTATTTTGATTAGCCATGTTTAGCTAAAGCTTAAATACCCCCCAGGTCATGGCATTTCTTCAAATTATTGTTTAAACAGATTTTATGCTCAATTTAATATAAGAATATATTGACATTCCAACACTGAAAAGCAGTTGTTTCTGGTGAGCGACTCAGGGCCATCATGGCCCTCTTGTTTATAATGTTATTTATTTGTTCTTTTGTGATTTTCTTTTAGAAGAAACAAATCCAGTTACTCAGACTGCTTAATGATTTCATGAAACAGCAATTGTATACTGTCTTAATTTAGATCATATAACAGTCATTTAATAACGTTAACAGTCAGGATAAGCGTCTCTTGCTCAACCAACCTAGTGCCTTCTGTAGCAACAAAAGTTGCCAATGGTTGACAATGACGGCAGGTGACTCTTTTATAGGTATAACCGGTATTTCAGCAGTTATGTCACTTAAACCCCATGATTACATCACGAACGTTCTATTAACATTATATTTTCAATAACATATCTCCTTGCACTAGTTATGTAATTGCCACATGTTATAGACATTGTTATTTAATACATGG